TTACCATCATAGATGTCATCCATTTTCCTTGGTGCTTCTGTGCAAGCACCATAGACGCCCTCATCGTCAGTTTCTGAGTCAGAGGCCACAGTGTCAACCATTTGGGTTACAGCATCATGGATATTAACAGATTTTCCTATAGTCTGGCTTGATATTGATGGGGTAGCCTGATCCTCATATTCATTATTGTCTGTGGGTGCCTGGAGCATTTGGGTTTTAGCATCATGAATGTCATTATTTTTCCTTGGTGCTTCTGTGCAAGCACCATAGACACCCTCATCGTCAGTTTCTGAGTCAGAGGCCACAGTATCCACCATTTGGGTTGCAGCCTCATGAATATTGGCAGATCTACCTGCAGTTTTGTTTCCTACTGAGTTGGTAGCTTGCTCTTCTATATTGTCATTATCTGTGGGTGCCTGGAGCATCTGTGTCTTTGCATCATGGATGTCATCCATTTTCCTTGGCGCTTCTGTGCAAGCACCGTAGACTCCCTCATCATCAGTTTCTGAGTCAGACACAACAGTATGCACCATTTGGGTTGCAGCCTCATGGATATTAACAGATCTACTTGCAGTTTTGTTTTCTTCTGAGGAGGTAGCCTGCTGTACACGATCATTGTTGTCTGTGGGCCCCTCAAGCATTTGGGGTTTATCATTATGGACGTTATCCATTTTCCTTGGTGCTTCTGTGCAAGCACCATAGACTCCCTCATCATCAGTTTCTGAGTCGGAGGCAACAGAATCCACCATTTGGGTTGCAGCCTCATGAATATTGGCAGATCTACCTGCAGTTTTGTTTCCTACCGAGTTGGTAGCTTGCTCTTCTATATTGTCATTATCTGTGGCTGCCTCAAGCATTTGTGTTTTTGCATCATGAATGTCAGCCATTTTTCTTGGTGCTTCTGTGGAAGCACCATAAACTCCCTCATCATCAGTCTCTGAGTCAGACACAACAGTATCCACCATTTGGGTTACAGCCTCATGGATATTAACAGAATTTCCTGTTGTTTGGCTTGCTATTGATGGGGTAGCCTGATCCTCATATTCGTCATTGTCTGTTGGAGCCTGGAGCATTTGTGTTTTTGCATCATGAATGTCATCTATTTTCCTTGGTGCTTCTGTGCAAGCACCATAGACGCCCTCATCGTCAGTTTCTGAGTCCGACACACCAGTATCTACCATTTGGGTTGCAGCCTCATGGATATTGACAGATTTACCAGCACTTTTGTTATGTACTAAGGAGGTAGCCTGCTCTTCACAATCATCATTGTCTGTGGGTTTCTCAAGCATTTGGGTTTTAGCATCATGGATGTCATCCATTTTCCTTGGTGCTTCTGTGCAAGCACCATAGACTCCCTCATCATCAGTTTCTGAATCTGACGCCACAGTATCCA